AACTAGGTTCTTCAGAAATGAATCATTCTCATTGCGTTTCAGTAGCGGCGAATCACAGATGCTAATCCGTTGCGTCAAATGAATTTCCTTTACCTGGTGAGGGATCCATAAATCAAGTTTCTTGACATAACCAAGGGATTTTAATTTTTTTTCAATGCATGTATGTGACACATTGAGCTTCTCTGCAATATCTCGTGTTGTGCTGTGACGATTTGAATCGATACTGGCCTTGATATGGTTTCATCCACTTCGACTGGGCGGCCAGGTCGTTGTGAATTTTTCAGTGAAAAATCACCGGAACGAAATCTTTCAAACCAATTTCGACACTGCCTTTCTTTTAAGGCTTCATCTCCATATACGGCACATAACTTCCTTTGTGCTTGCGATGTGTTCTTGCCTTTTCGGAAGTAATACAATAAAATGTGTGGGAAGTGCACGTCCTGTTCTTTCATTTTTAAATTGAGATAAAACAAAACTAAAGAACTAAACAAAAAAAATTTTTTACTAATTAACCTAGAAGTCCATACAGTAAGAAAAAATATAGGTTAGATGCTCTGGCCATGTTAACAAAACAAAAGAAAGTATAGAGTGAATCTGTCAACAAAAACGACAATGACTTATTTGCCAACCCAATACATTTTCTGCCATGATGACCATGTAATAACTTGGCCAATGATTGGTTGTCATGGCTTTAGTTTTTGATTGGTCGAGAGCCGTCTGCATTTGTCATACTTAAGTTGTGTTCCCTTCAGATTGAATAATCAAATCCTGCATCACCATACTATAATTTAATTTAAATTGATTAGGTTCCATACTATCACAAGAGTATTTAAAGTGGCATTGTTTTTGTTTTACCTGCTACGTTGGGCTTCCTCTGCTGGACATGAAATAGTTATTGAATAGAGACGAACAAGGAAAAAGGCTCCATATAAGATCCAGTTTTTGTCCGATCTTGTCCTTGGATTGAAATTCATTCAAAAGCTTAGATACAAATAAAAGCCATTCCTAGTATGCCATATTAATGTAAATTGATGTCCTTTCCAAGGCAAATCGACCATAAGACGACAAAGGCAGACTATATTTCAATTCATTATTTCTATGCAAAATGTCGCGATCTGTCATTAAACGGGAATTAAAACCATAATTTCAGATTAATACTTCTACCAAAAAGTATTCGAACCAAGTACTACAAGAAGTTTGGTAAATGTTCTCATCTTACTGGCATTTTGACGATACGATTCGGTAATGCGTTCAAACTCCTAAATGTTGCACTGAGGAATGTACAACACTTCCTAGGTTTTTGCAAATAAATCTAGCGAGCACTCCAACAGTCTGGAAGGTGCATCGTGCAAGAGCGCCCGTAAGTGCAGAGACCACCTCCAATGCCCGCTGCATTACCAGGGTAACTCAGTTGCATCCTAATGACTAGGCTTTGTGTCAGGAGGCTATCGGCTGAAACAAAATCCTTTACACTCAGTTTCCTCACAATTACTGGGGTAGCTTAGCGAACTTCGAGCTCAATTTCATACTAGGAGAAATCGTGTTGAGATTCAGTCAAGTCTCCCAGGTGTAGGCTTCGTTTCGAGCCCTTCGAAATTGAGGTTTTCCTGCACTTATTACCATCCCCAAAATAACTTATGAGCGGATCAAAATGCACGAGAGGTAACCATTAATTTTAACACACGTTTTAAATCAACATACTAGAGCATGTATATATCAATTGACCCATTTCACAACCTTGAGAAAATGTTGCTACTTGAGTTTATTCAGGGCTGCTACTTTCACTATTGGATCTGTTGAAATTGGTAAAATTTTGTCCAAAGATTTGCATATAAGCTCCGATTATTGATTTCCAAATAAAAGACCTCTACCTTGAGATCTGCTTTGAATTTTGTGCGGGCGACTTTAAAGCTTAACTCTAACAAGATAGGGAGTTTTTTTACGGAATATCTCCTAGCATGACGCATTTAATACCAGTGATGCAACGATCGTAACTACGCAAACATAATTAAGTAGATTTTAGGAGGAAAATACGAAAGCATCACTATCCTATTTTTCTTAGCAACTGCATTGCCGAAAATTATTTACTCCCCGTGGGGTGTGCGATTGACTTATCTCCACGTGGTGCGCCCTGGGCAACGTATACTCATTCAGCAAAAAAGTCTTTCATTCGGCTGTTAACTTCTGACTTCAAACTACCATCACCCCACTGTGTCATATTCGACCCCTTTCACAGTACTCACCTTACCTTTTTCTCTCCCTTTGTGTCTGTCTGCCTCTTTTACGCCTGTGAATTGCTCTTCTGTTCCCCACCCCTCGACTTTCTGCTACTTTGATGAACCTTCCCTCTGTGAAGCCCGAGGTCAGCTAAATGGCTAATGATAGCTATCAAAACGCCTGCCATTTGATATAAATAAATGATAATATACTCCCCGCAAAGCATTATATCTCCGACATAACCTTCGGATATTGGCAAAGCACGAATAATAAGGCANTTTGTAGATGTTGATAAATCATTAAAGTATCTTAAACAATTTCCTTGAAATAACTAAGTAAAATAAATCGAGCAATTCGGATTGAATGATGTTTTGCCAAATGGGGTGTGCGATAGACTTACCTCCACGTGGTGCACCCTGGGCAACGTATACTCATGCGGCAAAAGAGTCCATTAACTGGCAGTTGGCTTCTGACTTCAAATTACCATCACCCCACTGTACATCATATTCGACATCTTTCACAGTACTCATCTCACCATTTTTCTACATTTTCTAACTTCGTCTTTGAAACTGTTCTGTTCCTCCCCTCCCCCTTCTCGTCTTTTTTCACTTTGATGTTCCTCTCCCTCTGTGAAGTCTGAAGTCAACTAAAGGGCTAATGTTAGCCATCAAGACGCCTGCCATTTGCTATAAAAAAATAATTATTTTGCCAAATAGTAGAACCCCGTTGTCAAAATATTTACCCTTTGCTTGACTTTAAAATAGTACTCGATGGCTGGTATCTGCTAAGGTTAACTAAACTTATTCCAATCACATTCTATCTTAATTGATTTTTGAATCTACAATTTGCATTTGCAATGGCGTGTAATATTATTAAGCCATCATTATATTTTAAAGAATTCGAATAGAGTAGGTCGTCCAGTCCACAGTCGTTACTATTTTTCAATATCTGGGGTGTGCGATAGACTTACCTCCAGGTGGTGCACACTGAGCAACGTATACTCATACGGCAAAAAAGTCTATTAACCGGCGGTTGACTTCTGACTTCAAACTACCATCACTCCACTCTTTGTCATATTCGAATACTTCCACAGTACTCACCTCACCTTTTTCTACCCTTTCTACCTTTGTCTTTGAAACACTCTTCTGTTCCCCCTTTCTCAATCTCGACTTTTTTCACTTTGATGTTCCTTCCACACTGTGAAGCCCGAAGTCAACTAAAGGGCTAATGATAACTATCAAAACGCCTGCCATTTGATATAAATAAATAAATTTTTCAATATCTAGATGGTTGGTCTACTAACTAACTTCGTTAGAACACTACTATGGTGGAAAAAAGACGAGGTTTAGTCAATAAATGATAATATTTTTAAAGANGGGGGGTGGGGGGTGGGGGGTAGGGGGTGGGGGCAATTAAATGAGAAAATAAAATTTAAATAAAAGATAGTCCAATATTGTTGTATGTGCGTGTGTGCTTCGCTTTGGTAATAAGTGGAATCCTTCATTTGTTTACCCTGAATTTTATGGCTGCTAACGAGTTGTCTGAGTTGAAATCCGTTTTCATAATGAATGGATTAATGAATAAGATGAGCTGAGGCGTTGAAGTAAGTGTTGAGAACACAATTTAAGAGGACTGAGGGCGTATTCAACCACCTCTCTTGCTGACCAGAAATAACATCAAGACAGAAGACCCGTCAAATTATATTAACAACGATCTGAGGTGTGCGATAGACTTACCTCCACGCGGTGCACTCTGGGCAACGTATACTCATACGGCAAAAAAGTCTATTAACTGGCAGTTGACTTCTGACTTCAAACTATCATCACCCTACAGTATGTCATATTCGATTACTTCATCAGTACTCGCCTCACCTATTTTCTACCTTTCTACCTTCGTCTTGGAAACACTCTTCTGTTCCCCCCCCCCCCCCNATTTGCATATAAGCTCCGATTATTGATTTCCAAATAAAAGACCTCTACCTTGAGATCTGCTTTGAATTTTGTGCGGGCGACTTTAAAGCTTAACTCTAACAAGATAGGGAGTTTTTTTACGGAATATCTCCTAGCATGACGCATTTAATACCAGTGATGCAACGATCGTAACTACGCAAACATAATTAAGTAGATTTTAGGAGGAAAATACGAAAGCATCACTATCCTATTTTTCTTAGCAACTGCATTGCCGAAAATTATTTACTCCCCGTGGGGTGTGCGATTGACTTATCTCCACGTGGTGCGCCCTGGGCAACGTATACTCATTCAGCAAAAAAGTCTTTCATTCGGCTGTTAACTTCTGACTTCAAACTACCATCACCCCACTGTGTCATATTCGACCCCTTTCACAGTACTCACCTTACCTTTTTCTCTCCCTTTGTGTCTGTCTGCCTCTTTTACGCCTGTGAATTGCTCTTCTGTTCCCCACCCCTCGACTTTCTGCTACTTTGATGAACCTTCCCTCTGTGAAGCCCGAGGTCAGCTAAATGGCTAATGATAGCTATCAAAACGCCTGCCATTTGATATAAATAAATGATAATATACTCCCCGCAAAGCATTATATCTCCGACATAACCTTCGGATATTGGCAAAGCACGAATAATAAGGCAAATGTACTTTCGAACTATGTTTTAGTAAAATATACAAAAATTTTAACACCCCGATTTTCGATCGGCCTAGCCCATATTCGGCAACCTCTGACGCATGGATTTGCATTGGCCAAAGATTCACAAACCATATCAAGGTCATTTTCGTTTGCCGGATAAAATTGTAGAACTCCAGCACCGTTATTATTCGACAGCACACGAATACATTCACGACTAAACAGATTTACAAGTCCACGGGCTTCTCTCGCAGTTATCCATTGGACAAATGAAATTGACACCAAATAGTCAATTGACGATTCACGTAAAGCTAACCTTGAATTAACCAATGAACATTGAACAAAATTCAGTTCGGCTTGAGGAGTGAGTATTCGATCTAAACCAAGTCTGAAAGCTCCTTCAGATATTATGCTTTCTCCCCCGAAGGGTAATAGCGATCCGCAGCCTAAATCAAGAATTATAATTGAAGATGAATTTTCCGAATCCAGATTTAAGCAAGAAGAGAAGGCAAACTGATAAAGCAATTGTTGATTAAGGCGATTTTGCCTTACATCCAGACTGTGTCGAATCAGTTGCATCTGATCATTATATTCTACTCGACGCTTGATGCAATTCTTATTTATTTTTGGAATTTTAAACCATGGAACATATTTAAGATCATAATGAGATGATATCAACCCACGTGGTAATGTAATACCACGTTCTTCAGTGAGAGGGGCAACTAGGACTGTATTTACTGGGAAAGAAGATTTTATTGAAAACCAACAACGTGACGGCTGAAGAATTCGCAATAACTGCAGTCGACAACCCACCTAAAATACATAAATAGTAATTTGTAAATTCACAGCTACTTTATAAAAATTAGTAGCCAAATCAGGAATCAATTGTAGGAAAACAAAACAGTGGTCCTACAATGGATTCCTGGTCATTGTGGCATTAAAGGCAATAAGCTTGCTGAGACACTTGCTAAGAAGGGGACAACGATTTTGCAATGCATGGACCGGCCGATGTCTTTCCACACAATAAAGGCCTTAATCGGGAGAGACCGATGTTCACAGGGAGAGAATTCAAGACCTCAAGGTGCAACGAACTTAAAGCTGAAGTCAAAGTTTAAGGGCTAATGATAAATATCACAAAGAGCGCCATTTGAAAGAATAATAATAATAATTGGTATTAAAAAGAATTTACATTTCTAGTGGAGCACCGAATTCAGAGCTTAATGCTTGCACCGATAGAAATGTGATCGTTAATTCATCTACACGCAAAGTGGCAAACCAAATCTGTTTGGACACTGCCCGAAATGATGTCATGTAAACGAAATTGATTTGCCGCAAAGGGTGCAGACGGAAACAAATTAGAGTGGGTAAAATTTTGAAACTTTCTTAAGTTGATTCTACATTGAGGTTTCAGACTATAAGCGCTAAAACCCACAGGCAATCAATTTATTTGCTTAGATTTTTCAACTTCCTGAGATGAAATAATCTACAACATTTACTTTACCATCAAATGGTTCGAAGTCAGCAAGTATATGAAGAAGTGACCACTAACAGCACGGAAAGCCGGCAGATTGGATTGGTGTCCCAATAAGATAATCTAGGCGCAATTTCTGACAGATTAATTTCACAATCAAACGTGTTTGAGCTTCGTTATCACGGAAAGAGTTTCCAATGCTTCGCTCATAATAACCGCAATCTACTGAAACTTACATTCACTTATCGTGCAGTAATAGATTAAACCAGATTCTCCCAGATAAACCTCAAGGTGTGACTATTTCAATGCAACTGGAGTTGATGATACTTAGACGGGGTGTGCGATAGACTTACCTCCTCGTGGTGCACCCTGAGCAACGTATTTCATACGGCAAAGTCTATTAACTGGCAGTTGACTTCTGACTTCAAACTACCATCACCCCACTGTATGTCATATTCCACCACTTCACAGTACTCATCTTACCTTTTTCTCTACCTTTGTGCCTGCCTCCTCAACAACTTTAAAACACTCTTCTGTTCCCCCCCCCCCCCCCTCTGCGAAGCCTGAAGTCGACTAAATGGCTAATGATAACTGTCAAAACGCCTGCCATCTGATATAAATAAATGATACTAAGACTAAAGTACCCCCCCCCCCTCGAAAAGTACTTACCGTCTGCCAAGACAAGTCTACATTTATACGCACAACTGAAAATTGCGTAAGTTCATCTTCTAAATCATTACAAACATCACCACCCCTTAAAAAGTCTGAAAAAACCCTGCTATTGACAAAGTAACAAATCAGACACTTTTGGCAGAACTATCCCTTACCCCTATGACTTAAACATCTGGGTAAGTAACAGTCCACTTGAAACCCGAAAAATGTGTGAATGCCGTTTCAGAAAAGATGAGGATAAAGGCGATACAAATATACAGTGAAGAAAAAATACCTTATAGACTGCGTTATTTCCTTGGATTTCAATGTTACTACGTTTGAAAAGGAAACGCTAAATGAAAGAACGGAAATGAGATCTACTTTAACAAAATTTATTGGAGTTTTGAAAGTACCAAACAGAAATTAAAACAAAAACTGTAGTAACAATGAAGGATATTTATTGATTAGAGAACATTATTAATCAAAGAAACGAATCACGAGAACCGATAATCTTAACGGGAGGAAGAGATAGAGACTAGAGTGACCAATGAAGCGATAAGGACGTAGAGAGGGGGGGGGTGGTCAAGGTTAGATAGCGCCGGTGGTCTTGCGATTGTTATTGGCGGGCTGAAGCCAATTAGCGTTGGTGCGAACGGCAAATGGAGAGCGGTAGAGAATGGCCTCAAGATCTGCCTCGAAGTTCTGTTGACTATCCAATAATAAATTAGCCAGTTTAGAACGCTTTGCGGCCTGAATGTCCATTTCTTCGGTTTTAGGTGAACTCCCAGCTTGCTCACAATAGTCCCGAAGCCACCTGTTGGTATATTCAAAAGAACCTTTAAAATTTGTCATAGTAGGGAAATGTTGAACAAGAACACTTCATACAGTTAGCTGAATCATTCGATTAAAAGAATGAAACAAAGACAGAATTTGGACATGCGGATGGGGAGCACTCAGTTGGTATTTAGCGAGCAAGGAAATGTTTGTTTTATGTCGAGGGAAGACTAATAAAACAAGAATTTGCCGTAATATAAACTTGTCAACCCATTAAGGAAGATAGTAAGAGCTCTTAATTAGGATATATGCTAATCATGTTCTTTGACCCGCGTTTTGACAAGAAATCAATGCAATCGGCCAACTACAAAAGAAGATTCACACAGACGAGGACAGACTTTGTGAGCCCTAATTCAGATCAATAAATCGGCAAACTCCTGAATACCATCAATAAACCACACTAAACCTAAAAGTGTTTGCAAATAATAATAAGATCATGCAGTTAAAAACTTTAAATAGCACACGAATTGGACCTGAGGATGTGAAATTCCCATTTCATGGGATGTGCAATAGACTTACCTCCACGTGGTGCACCCTGGGCAACGTAAACTCATACAGAAAAAGTCCACAAACCGGTAGTTGACTTCTAACTTCAAACTACCATGACCCCATTGAATGACATATTCAACCACTTCTCTACCTTTGTATCTGCCTGTCCCTTTTGCATCTGTGAACCACTCTTCTGTTCCCTCCCCCCCCNATATATATATGCGGTGTGCGATAGACTTATCTCCACGTGGTGCGCCTTGGGCAATATATACTCATACGTCAAAAAAGTCTATTAACTGGCAGTTGACTTCTGCCTTCAAACTACCATGACCCCACTGTATGTCATATTCGACCCATTCACAGTACTCACCTTACCTTTTCTATGCCTTTGTGTCTGTCTGTCTCCTTTACATCTTCGAAGCACTCTTCTGTTCCACCTCCCTCTCAATTTTTTTTTCACTTTGGTATATATATATATATATATATATATATATATTAGTTTTGAAACTTTATGTCTGATGGAGAAAATTTGGTTTGTTGCTTAGAGCATCCCAGGAAAGAAGGAGATGAAACACCTTTGGTCTACCTAAAATGAAGAATTTTACTTTCCAAACGAGTTTTATAGAATTAACAATCACCATTTCGTAATCTAGATTCTCTCTCCTCACGACCACTTCAAACCAATTTTTATTGGCCAGAAGTGCGAAACTGGAGGCTTACAAAGCATATATATATTTAACTGATTTAATTATTTATCACTTAACCATCCACTTACCTAACCGAAATAGGGATTCATAAACAATTATTGGTAAATTTTAGTTAAATTTTCTTCCTCAAATTTCTTTCTAAAAGTGAGAGAAAATTGCCTGCCAAAAAATGCAAAGATGTACACCAACTCCGTGTTTGTCAGCGTACTTTTTGAAAAAAATAATGATTCCAATTCTGACAGGTGTTGTCATTGGCAGTTCTTTCCACCGAACAAAGTTTCTTCCCCCCCCCCCCCAACCTTCACCCCCCCCCACATACACATTTTTACTTTCGTCTGTAAAAATGCTTTTTGTTTCAAAAATGATAAAACATTTCGCAAAAATTTATGCGCAAAACCAAAAAAGGATGATCGAGTTAAGAAGGGTCTGTTTTCAATCCATTTTATCAAATTTTCAGATAAATAGATGCCTCAAAATTGCACAAATGAGATGGTTACCAAAGCCTCAATTTTATCTTCCACGCAGGCTAATTCACAGAGCTTTCAGAGAAGCTAAGAATTAGTGGCATATAATGCCTGAAATATAATTTCTTTTAAACACCTACTTGGCTCTTGTTCGAAAGTTTTTCGACGTTTGCAGGCGACGGGAGATGTGTCTTTAAACCGTTACATCACAATAAAGAAGAAATTATACTATCGTCTAACGAAAGTGAGAAATTTCAGATGAAAAGTAAAGAACCTATTCTAATCCTCAAAGTTGCATGTACAGGAGGGAAGGAAGAGCATTTTAAGGTCTCCTTAGACCATTTCGGTAAATATAGCAGCAAAAGAGGATGGTAAGATGTAGAAAAATTGCCCACCTCCCCTCCCTCCCTCTCCGCGCCCGGGCAACACTTTTTCTCTTTGAAGTTGACAAATGATTTCTTTTAGAAGTTGGTGGTTGGGGTAGGAGATCCTGCGGTTTTTTGTGCTCTCCACTCCACTCCACTCCACTCCAACCCCCCCCCCCCCCCCCCCACCACCACACACACCTCTCTGACAAAGACTTCTCAAGAGGAGAGAGAGAGGTAGAGGTAGAGAGAGCTCACGTTCTTTGCCAAGAGCTATTTTTTTCCTTCTTTTCGCACTGCCTTTTCACCGCAAAACCCTTCCAAGTGGAGTGCTGCTTGCGGTCTCACCATCTCTCTATCTTTCTGCCTTCTATTTTTTCTCCACCAACACCAACCCACTTCTAACTGGATGGCTGGTTGGCTGTCGCCTCTGCGCGTAGAAAAAAGGATGGACTCCTCACGCGGATGAGGCCGAGGTCTACTTTGGCACAGAGGAGAGAGAGAGGGAGAGTTGTCTTTTCTTGGTCGAGGTGCAAAGTACGCCAAAGGACTTATTTATTCATATTAAATGACAGGCGCTTATGATAGTTAACGTTAGCCCGAGTAGTTGACTTCGGGCTTCATAGAGAGGAGGAGGAACATTGGAATTACTAAAAGTCTGGAGAGGGGACAGAAGAGTGATACACGGATGTAAAAGTGGCAGACGCAAAGATGGAGAAAAAAAGGTAAGGTGAGTACTGTAGAAGTGGTGCCTGATTGTCTCTTTTACATCTGTGAATCCCTCTTCTGCTCCCCNCCCCCCCCCCCGATTTTCTGTTATTTTGATGTTCCTCCTCCCCTCTGTGAAGCCCGAAGCCAGCCAAAGAGCTAATGATAACTATCAAAACGCCTGCCATTTCAAATTGACAAGTATAGAATAATAGACCTACTCCAAGGAATAGAAAGGCAAACTATATATTCGCAAAATCCGACAAAAAAATGTTAAGAGGTAAAGAAGTGGAGTCGAAATTGTTTGAATTATTAAAACGGTGGTGGTGTGTTGCAATGGGCGGAATGTTTCGACTAGATCCAAACTCGTCTCATTACGTTGGTATCTTGGATTTTTAAAAAAAGGCATCTGGAAGATATAAATTATAATTTCTTTTTAAAAGCGCTAAGAAATTCCGAGTTTTAAATCATAAAAGCGAATGAAATGAGTAAAGTTTGCTTATTTTCTTTCAAGTTATTAACTAAAAAAAATAATTTGATCATTTTGTATTGGCGCCAAAATAACTTAATTAACAAGAAAACGACTATAAATAGCCTTAAATAGAAGTGCAAACCTTTGTAGCTTATTCAATTTTATTTCAACTTCCGAAGAAACATCGAATGATAGTTTACTTTAAATTAAATTTTTGCTACAAGAAAATATTGTTTCACAATCTTTTCAGATTATATATAGAGACCGATATTAATTAAGTTATATCTAATTCCTAAGAGGGAAAATAAAAGAATCAGACCATTCATCAAAGGTCATTAATTAGACATCTTTTAATTTAGGCAATTGATCGCAATTAATAAGTGTTAGAAAGAGAGAGAAAACCCGAATGAAGTTATCAAAAAGTAAGCATAAGCGAATAATGATTAAGTATTCCTTCTCTTCAACAATAACTTCCAACACCCCCCCC